CCCTACTTCACATGACCCGTCAGATCTACATGACCCCACCTGGATGGCATTGCCCTACATGTAGAATTGGGGTGGGGGTGGGAGGGGAGGATGGTCAGGGTGCATGTGAGGGGGCAAAGAGGGTAAAAGTGAGGGAGGGAGGGAAGGAAGGAGGGAGGAGGGAGAGATGGAGGGAGAGGGAACTGGGATCGACATGTAAAATAATAAATTAAATAAATAAAAAAAAAGAATGTTCTATTCCCCAACAGATCAGGGACTGTTCTGTGAGATTGTGCCTTCTAGCAACATCAGAAATTATACCAATAAAGTCTGACCAGCAGGACTGACCAAACATTCCCAAGCAAGGCTGCTGCTAATGAGCATGCCCAAAGTGGATGCGGGAAAGCCCATGAGGCCTCAACCCTACTATAGACAACTGAGGAAAGCTGTGAACGGGAGAGGTGGCCCTCAGAGAAGAGCACACAAATTGGTGGTTCAGTGCCATATGGTCAGCCCCCTGAAAACACACACACAAGAAATATGGATGCAACAATATATTTGGGAATATATATGTATAAATAAATATATATTCATAAAACAAAAATTGATGAAAGGAAGCATGAATTTGGAAGAGAGCAGGGAGGGATATATGGAAAGGTTTAGAGGGAGGGACAGGAAAGGAGAAATGATGTAATTATAATCTCAAAAATATTTTTTAAAGAGTTAAAGGGCTTCCTGACTTGAAGGTGGAGGTACAAGGATCATATTTGCCAGGTCTCTTATCTACAGATGAACACATATTTCTTGAGAAAAACTAGGAGTGTGTTTGGTCCTCTAGGCCACTAGCAATGAGCATGGCCTCTCAAGGGAGCCTAAAAAGGACCAAGTAAAACCATCCCCAGGGACACACTTGGAATGGCCAGGCCTCAAGAATGAATAGTTGGCTTTCTTACAGATGGCTGCCATAGTAACCAGCTAGAAGCTCCTGCGTGTCTTGAGGAGGAGGAGGGAGGGGGTTCATATGCTCAGGCAAGCACACCTGAGAGATAGGAAGGGAGGGAGGGCAAGTACCCAACCCTATAAATGCACAGCTACTACAGCAAATGCTCTGCACCCCCACTCTGAACCTCTGGATTCCTCTTCTGCATCCAAGACCAGCACAGACAATGTCCTTATCAGTGTGTCCCAAACCCCGGGGTCAAGGTCAGTGAATGAACTCTCTTCTGCTATGAAGCTGATCTTGTCTCTGACCTTGTCACCAGAGCCAAGCATTCTCTGGGTTTCTTGGCATTCACATCACACAGGGCTCTCTACACGATGGCCATGAGAGAGGTCCCAGATTTGACTCATTAACCTTTGTCTTGCTCAGTTTCTCCCTCTCTAGAGTCCACCAGAGTCTCTGTTGTCCTTTATTACACACTTCTCTGTGTCCTCCCTACATATGTCCATCAGGATCTCAGTCTGCTCATCTGCCCCCGTGACTGAGTCAAACAACCAACTGCATCACTTAGAGCACAGGGAGGGCTCCTTTGCCTTGCTGACTCCAAGTTTGGAAGCTGGAAAGGAAGAAAACCCAGCTTGACCTTTCTTGCTAGAACTGGCTCCCTAGCCCCAGTGCTGTATCAGCACCCAAGCACGGGAAGCCTTCTGCCAGCCCCCCTGACTCTCCATGTTGGGACTTTGTCTCATTTTCATCTCATCCATAGAGGGAAGCTCCTAGAATCTCTCCTACTGTGCTTCTCTGTACTGACCTGTTCATTTCCATGGTTCTCATAGCTCATTATATTTTAGCCAATTGAATTTCTTGGTTTTCCACACCTTTCCTTCTATACTGTTTGGTGAGAACCCTCCCTCTCTCTGATTATGTTCTCCTGTTTTTGCTTTTCCTACATCCCTATGTTTGTGCATCTTAGCACTTTCTGTTTCATTGATACTTTTTCCTCCTTCCCTGTGGACAGGGGGGCTAGTACGTGTCTCAAAGATGTTTCTCTTTCAGAGATAAGGAGATTGTGATAAAAGGAATGCCTTCCACGTTTTACCTGGGATTTTTCTGTGGTGGGGGCTGGTGTTTGTAATGTCTATCAGAGCCAGATAAGAGGAAAGACTAGTTAAAACAGAAAACAAACAAGTGAGGTGTACAAAACTACCTGACACTAAGAAGCAGAAAGTATTAGGGGAGAGTGGAAAAGGTGGTGAGGTCCTCCCTCCTCTGGATGTCTACCCAGCTAGGGCTTGTGAGTGGGAGGCCAGGCAGTCTTTGAAGCAGGCCTTTGATGTGTGAAGTGAAGCCATAGGAAGACAAAAGGAAACTGAATCAAAACTAATTATATGGTTTTAGTTAATCCTCATTTCCTAGGAGTAAATCCTGAAACAGCCTGTCAACTCACCCCTAGAGTTGAATTTTAGACATGCCTAACCCAAACCCAAGTCCCTCTGCCTCTACTGGAGATGAAAAGTGGAGTGTGTAGTTTTTAATATGTGAAAATTAATGTATTTTATTTGTCAATATAAACATGAGCTTTATAGGTCACTTCTAAATAATCGCATATGGTGGAAAGATCGTAGATTCATGGAAATTAATTACCCCTAAGGCATTGGCTTGAAGTAGGTAATTTCTAAATGATTACATATGGTGGAAAGATCATATATTCACGGAAATTAATTACCCCTAAGACATTAGCTTGAAGCAGCAACGTCACTTCACTTTGTGGTTTAAATCTGACTCAAAATAAGAATAATTTTTCATTTACAAATAAATGTCATATACCTTTGTGTTATGAAACATGGCGTTTCTTGGCCAGGTGTGGTGTCACACACCTTTAATCCCATACTTGGGAGGCAAAGGCAGGTGGAGCTTTCCGAATTCTTGGCCAGCCTGGTCTACACAATGAGCTCTAAGACAGCTGGATCTACCTAGTAAGAGCCTGCCTCAAACAAATGGTTTCTTTCACTTTTTTGTCTGTTTTCTGAAGATCTTGAGATTGAAATCAGAGCTTTACCCCTAATAAAAAGTATTGTAAAAAGATTAAATTAAGCCAATTGATATATTGATCACCTCATGAAAGTATCCATCTGAGGTGAGGATGGTAAAAAACCATTTACTCAGCAATTTCCAAGTATATAATACATAATTACTAAATGTAGTCACCATGTTGTACAATAGATTTCATGAATTTATTTCTCGTGACAGTTCTCAAGTTTTATGTCTTTAGACATGCCCTGCCTCTGCCCTGCCTCTGAGGGACACCTCTCTGCTCTCTGTGCCTTTGACATGGAGTTTTAGATGCCACATACTGTGACTAGCTTAGTGCTGCCTTTCATATTGTTTATAGTGTATTTTTATATATGGGATAACATTAATATTAATGATAACTACTTGGGAGTTTGAGGCGTCCAGTGAGTACTTACTTCTCTTCCACCTTCTACTGAATAAACTGAAGAAAAGTGGAGTGAGAGAGTCAACAGAGAGGGGTCAATATATTATCTTTAGCAACAACAAAAAACAAACCGACATGGACTTCTATATGCCTGAAGTTGGGTGGGCTCATTCCACAGCCATTGGCAGCACCAGACAATACCAGAGCCTCCTAAACAGGGGCAGCACCCACCCTAAAGAGCACAAGAAACAGGTTTCTCATTTTAAAAGGACAAAAAGCAAATTTTAGGTGGCCACTTCCTATCATCCGTGGTGGAATAAAGGAAGTGAGATGGTCCCTGTCACGTGGAAGGAAATTGTAAAAAATGTAAGAGAGGTGCCTCCCTTCCTCCCCTTCCCTTTCCCTGCTCAACAGTGTCTATGATTTTATTCATCTGCCTGTTCTGTCTATGGTTGACCACCTTTCCACCCTCACGTAACTGATCCCCCAGTACAAACTGCTGCTCCTCTGAGATGCTCTTGGACATTTTGGAAGTTCGTGTTCTACTTGCAGATGGTTCTGAAATGATCAGAACAATGGGTCAGTTACACCAACTGTGACAACACTAGACCCACAGAGAGTTCCTTCTCTGTTCTGTTCTACTGCCAAACCATGTGCAGTTTCATTGTCCAATATCACTTATCAGCAAGTCTTCAATGAGATTAAATTGCCTCATTAAGGGATATTAACAAAATACAAGCTCAGACAATACGCTCCATATGAACTACTCAGAAAATTGCTGCTAATTTAAGAGATCACAGATCCTCCGGTCTTTGAATAGGGAATCAATATAATAGCAAATGGTACTTTTTCCATATGTGGCCTGCAGAGGACAATTATGGAGGATAATTGGGACATACTTCTGGGTTAGCAAAGAAAGCCCACAAGTGTGTTGTGTGTGTGTGTGTGTGTGTGTGTGTGTGTGTGTGTGTGTGTGTGTGTGTGTACAGAGATATCATTTGGAAAGATATGTGTATGGATACCACCATTTCCATTAATTAAAACCATTGTAAATCATGTTAGAGCTTCAGATTAGCTACAAAAGGTGTAACAACGATTTCTACCAGTTAGTTTTTAATTTTCTAAGATTTATTTTAGGCCTGGAGAGATGGCTCAATGGGTAGGAGCACTGCCTGCTCCTCTAGCAGACCCAGGTTCAACACAGCAACCATATGGTGGCTCATAACCACCAAAATTCCAGTTCCAGGGAATCTGACACCCTCTTCTGACTTTTGCAGGAACCATGCATGAAAAGGGTACACAGACATACATGTATGCAAACATCCATAAACATAAAAAATAAAATACATTTATTTTTAAATTTAATTTTCTTATTTTTTTAAATATTTATTTATTTAAAATATTTATTTATTTTTATTTCACATGCATTGGTGTTTTACCTGCTTGTATGTCTGTGTGAGGGTGTCAGATCCCCTGAAGCTGGAGTTACAGACAGTTGAGAGCTGCCATGTGGGTGTTAGGAATTGAACCCAGGTCCTCTGGAAGAGCAGCCAGTGCTCTTAACTGCTGAACCATCTCTCCAGTCCCTATTTTATTATTTTTAATTATGTGTAGGTGTGTGTCTACATGTGGGTGTGTTCATACATGTGGGTGTGTTCATATGAGGGCAAAAGCCCGCAGAGGCCACAGGCATCAGACCCACTGGAGCTGGAGTTACAGATAGTTGTGAAACACCAGAGGTGGGTGATGGGAACCAAACTTGGGTCCTCTGAAGAGCAAGTGCTCTAGACCACCAAGCCATCTCTCCAGCCCCCTCTACAGTTCATTTTAAGACATTCTTCATCAGAATAATATTTTTTGAGAATAAGAATTTTTGTTCATTTTGCTTTTACAACAGAATACTATATGCTTATCTAAAACTAGAGAGTTAACATTTTCTTTTTTCTTGTATTTTTTAAATCAACACAAGAGCATAGGATTTTTAAGGCAAGTACAGACACAAAAACTTTAAAGGGGCAAGAAGGTCAAAATATACAATCAGAAAAGCTAGCAGATGGGTGTGTATAACCAAATGATAGTATGAGCCCTCTCCTGCTCTATAATGAGCACATGCAATGTGGTAAATTTGCTTAAGAAGACATTTGCAATAGCATTGATGTCACAGAACTGAAAAGGTCACCACATACCACTGTCTTGCAGACTGGCCCACCAGCTCAGACCATCCTCCCTGGAGCAGCTCTTCCTCAAACACCATGCCATCTCTGTTACTGAGGACAGTGATTCGGTGACAACGCATGAGCAGCAGAGCCACGGGATGAGGTAGGCGTGGTTTGCTTTCTAAAATCCCCGTGTCTTTACACAGATGCCTGACTGGCCAACTGCTGGTGGTTTCCACCAAGGCACTGGATGCTGGCCAGCACAGAATGTTATTTCTTCTCAGTGAACTACGGGCAAGCATTTGTCCTATAGTGGGACTTGGTGAGTCCTCCAGTTAAATTCCAATTTCTTTTTGGCTGAGTCCAAGAATTCTATGGATTGTAGATCACTGATGACTTATGTTGTTTAACCATTAGTTTTAGTCTCAACATATCTGCTGAGTACAGGATTGTGAGCCCATATTAAACTATGTCCTCTAACTTCCCTTCCGTTTCCAGATCACCAGAGTAGTGTAGGTACTAGAACTTTCCAAAGTGAAGGTGATAGAAATAGGCTGAGCTGACACCTTGATCAGTCAGGAAACCTCACTTAGAGGGAATCTAGTGCTTCACAGAGTGAGAAATGGGATGACGGGGGCAAAGGGCTCACAGAGAAGGCTGAGTGAGGATGTACAAAAAAAAAAAAAAATGAAACAGAAGAAAAACTGGTGGGAAGGCGGAAGTTAACCAGGGAAACTCTGTCCCTTTAGAAGCATATGACATATCTTAACTCCAGAAAAGACGAAAAGTACAACAGATTTCATGTTGAATGCAGTGACTTCCCAAAGGCTACAGTAATGATAAGAACTAAGTTTCTGGAGATGTACTGTGAACACCATTTACTCACAGAGGCAAAAGGATTGGAATGTGTGTGGCTTGCACATAGATTCTTTCTCCCAAAGATGGTTGAATTATTTCTGCCAAATAGTGGGTAAATTCCAACTGCTGGGGGAAAGGTGTTTCCTGATGTAAAAAGAAAAAAAAAAAAAAAAAAGGCAATCAATCGTAATCAGACCTCTTCTCAGATTACACTGCAGAGCCAGTGTGGCAGCAACAACTACCAGAGAGTGAGTCTGGGGAAAAGTGCATGGCTGCATCCAGACACCTGTTAGACATTCCTCCCCACTTCAGAGACAGCCATCCTTAATTTCCCCCAAAGCATCAACCCATTCAGTATTTCAAATTAGGTATGTAAAGACTGAACATTGTCCGCTTCTAGAAAATACCACCTTCATGTTGGCTATAATGGCAACTGCCTGTAATTCCAGTACTTGGTAAATAGAGGCAGGAGTTCAATGTCATCCTTGGCAATATAGTGAGTTCAAGACCAGCTGGGGCTACATGAGACTTGATCTCAAAAAAAAAAAAAAAGAAAAGAAAAAAAAAAGAATGGAAGGTAGAAAGAGGGGGGAGGGAGGGAAATAATGAGAGAAGGAAGGAAATGAATTGAAATGAAAAAAGAAAAAGATTATAAAATACACCTTCAACTATATCTCAGATGGGTCCTACAAATGACCTCCTTGAAGCTAAGTATCTGGCCCTCTTTAAGCCAAACACCACCATCCTTCCACTATACACTCCATCCCTCAGTTTCTTAACTTTCCTCATCTGGCATGAGTCCCAGACATACATATTTTATTATATTCCCTCTGAATGCATCCAGCCATAAGCAGCCCTTTGATGGTGAAGGACCTGGAACACTTGCTCCATTTCACAGGGTGTCTCATCAGTCCAGACTAAGGGGGACCATCATCACTTCCTCAACTTCTAAAATTGGAATTTATACAGAGAGCCTCTAGTGACCCTGGCATTTTCACTATACCATTCCTCCACAGATTTACCAGAGACTACTAAGCTCCAAAACTTTTACTGTCGCCTGGGTAAAGCCGCTTGCTGGGTTTCTGGGTCCAGGGGAACATCTCACCTTCCATACATCTGTGTCCTTTATGCTTTTCCTGGCCCCCTCCTCAAACAGGCCCCAGACAGCTGCCCTGAGGAACAGCAGCACAGTGACAGAGTTCGTCCTCGTGGGCTTTGAGCAGAGCTCCCCTTCCACACGGGCATTGCTCTTCACCCTCTTCTTGGCTCTCTACAGCCTCGCCATGGCCATGAATGGCCTCATCATCTTCATCACCTGGACTGACCCCAGACTCAACAGCCCCATGTACTTCTTCCTTGGACACCTGTCCTTCCTGGACATCTGCTTCATCACCACCACCATCCCACAGATGTTGATCCATCTGGTGACCAAGAACCACACTGTCTCCTTTGTCTCTTGTATGACCCAGATGTACTTGGTCTTTCTAGTGGGTGTGGCCGAGTGCATCCTCTTGGCTTTCATGGCCTATGATCGTTATGTTGCAATCTGCCACCCACTGAACTATGCCCAGATCGTAAGTCGGCAGATGTGTGTCAGGCTGGTGCTAACTTCCTGGATCTTTGGGATGGTCAATGGCATCTTTCTTGAGTATATATCATTCCGGAATCCCTTCTGCAAAGGCAACCACATAGAAAACTTCTTCTGTGAGGCCCCCATAGTGATTTCTCTCTCCTGTGGGGACCCTCAGTTCAGCATGAAGTTGATCTTCATTGATGCCTTTGTAGTGCTTTTCAGCCCCATGGTGCTCATCGTCACCTCCTATGCCCGCATCCTGGCCTCCATCCTTAGCAGAGCCTCCTCCTCAGGTAGGGGGAAGACATTCTCCACTTGTGCCTCCCACCTGACTGTGGTCATCTTTTTATACACCTCAGCCATGTTCTCTTACATGAATCCCCGCAGTACACATGGGCCTGACAAAGACAAGCCTTTCTCCCTCCTCTACACCATCATTATCCCCATGTGCAACCCCATCATCTACAGTTTCCGCAACAAGGAAATGAAGGGGGCCATGGGGAGGGCCCTTGGGAGAGGCAACCTGGTTTAGGCTGCACCTGCTTAGAAGGAAGCCTTCTGAAGAAGTTTCCTTCAATGGGGATGGAAGGTTACTGAAACATAATCTGAATCAGTCTTATCAATAAAAGCCCAGAGTCAGATATCAATGTAAAAGCTGAAAAAATCAGAGAAGCAAAGGAACATCCATAGCCACTTCTCACCTCTCTGATTCCTCAGCCTGAAAGGGTCAATCAAGATCATGTCTATACCCTGCTTTGTTACTTCCTGTCTCACTCCATGTTGTCACTTCCTGTCTCCACTCTGTACAGACCTCCAGATCTCTATGGTTAACTAGTAGCTAACTCTGCCCTCTGATCTCTTAGCAAGCTTTATTAGTCAGAACACAAACAAAATATCACACAACAGGTTACTTTTCCCAGACCTTGCTTTCCAGTTCTGGAAAGGCACTAGAAAAGACTGCAGTTTCCTTGGCACTAGACTCAGACCTGAAAGTGCCTCTTGATGTCTAAGGCTCATTTCTGACTTAATTTCCAGGATTGTTTTTCCATGAACGTTCCTTAAGAAAGTGTGAGGCTTTCCTGAATTTTTCCTCTGTGATCCTCAAGATTCAGTGAATAAGTGCATTTAACTCTATCTTGTTTGTGTGTGTGTGTGTGTGTGTGTGTGTGTGTGTATTTTGTGTGTGTGTGTGTGTGTGTATATATATATATATATATATATATATATATATATTTTTTTTTTTTTTTTTTTTTTTTTGCAGGCCACCTCCAGGATAATTTTTGTACTACATGTAGGAATAAATGATTTTTAACCTTTTAGTATGCCATATTAGTCTGGTGTTTTAAATATTTTTTTAACTGAAACAGAATTACATTAATTTAACCTTTTGAAGTCAGGTTCCTACCCCACCTTCAGACTGAGAGACAGGTATCATCTTCCTGGACCTTCGGTAGCTCAGGTCCTGGAAAGACCTTCCCTGGGTCATGAAATAGGCAGTAAGTTTCCAAGATGTATATATGTCTCAAAGTAACAGAGGAAAATAGCAATCACAAGTGTTTTGAATCTGCAAGAAAAGGAAGATGAGAGACTTACAGCCAAGAAAAACCCTTTCTAAAGTTATCAGACTGAGGGGAAATATAGACCTTCCAGGTCACCATGGAGAAAGAGAAGGCCTCGTCTTCTCCCCTGGAGGCCTGGCTTCTCTAAGTGTGAAATTCCAATCTGCAAAAATCCTTTGAAGAGGAAAAGAAATGTGGTCATTGAAAGGAGAGAAAAAAGAAAGCATGCTTTGAGAAATAACTTCGCAGCCATACATCAGGGGTCCTCATCCTTCCTAATGCTGCAGACCTTTAATACAGTTCCTCATTCTGTGGTGACCCCCAACCATAAGATTATTTTCATCGCTACTTCATAACTGTAATTTTGTTACTGTTATGAATCATAATGCAAATGTCCGTGTTTTCCAGTGGTCTTAAATGACCCCTGTGAAAGGGTCATTAGACCCTCCCACCAAGGATTGCAACCCACAGATTGAGAACCACAGCCTTAAAGTTACCTGGTACTGATAGACAAAGAGATTATGAACTGGCAGTTCAGCAAAAGATCAAGCATTACTACACAGATAACAGCAGCACGTATTTATTAGGTCCTAAGACCTTTGCAGTTGATCCCCATAATAATGTAGGATCTTTATCAGATACTACCACCCTATTTGATATCAAAACCGGTAGTCCCTAGTGGTGGATCACGCATTATTTAAAGGGCTTGGCTGCCATTCTCACTCAGGTGTCCTGACCCCAGAACCTGTTCCTCCTCTTCTGGCATGACACTACTGATGTCCTCTTGACCTCTTCCTCAGCAGCTCTGATTATCTTTAGGTTACTTAAATACACCATTGACCGCATCGCTGAGGGGCGGGGCTTATGAGGCCCCTTCCCCCTAGAGACATCTGGGTAGTTAACGGTTAGAGGGGGCAGGTTCTCAGGATATCCAGAGTTAAGGGTTGCAAAGACAGAAACCTTTTCTTTAGTAGCGCACGTGCCCCTAAGTTGGTGATGACCTCAGTTAAATTCATTGGTTCACCAGCTGCATTGGAATGGAATTTTGTTATTGTCCTCAGCTCACCTCAGAGGTCCAGAAGAATGCCAAGGAAGTGATGTTAGCTAAGCCATGAAGAATACGGAGGAGCTGTAGGGTGCAAAATGGAAAGGGGTGTTCGATGTTAGGACTAAAATTCCAAACAAACAAACAAAATAATAATAATAATAATCTATTCCTTGTAGGTGTGCGGTCAACAAGTATTTCAGAAGGTGAGTTGGGGTCAGGAATGCTGAGGAATCAGACCCGGGGTGACCTCGAATTGTCTTTTCAAGGCCTCCCAGTTGGAAGGGAGCGTTCACAAGCCAAGCTACTGCCTGTGCCAAGCTCTCCCCACCTGCAGCTTCGGACTGTCCCTTGGTAGGGAAGAGCCCTAGGGTCCACAAAAAGCTATACAACTACTAGAAGAAGCTGCCCTGAAAGTGCTCGCCTGGTCCCAGCACATAATTAAGCTCTAGAGTAAACTCAGCCCCGCCCTAGGAAGCAAGGGATGGGAAGAGAACCTAGATGCTCCCTCTGACTCTTCAGCTCCTTCCCAGAGGAGGCCAAATCTCCCTGCCCAGCTCCACCTGGCGGCAGCACCCTGCGACGCTGACCTGATTAGAACCACCGAGCCTGCGACCAATCAGCCTCTCGGCGCGCCGCTGCGCAGCCAATAAGCGCCGTCCCCGTGACCGCTCCTCCTGCACCGAATGCAGATTTGTCAACCTCAGAAACAAGGTCTATTTCAGGAAGTGTCTGCAGGGGCCTCGGTCCCCAACCCGGGGCTTGAGATACCCACCCGACCAAGTACCCCTCCCCTGGGATGTGGGCGGAACACAGCCGGAGACCTCGACCAATCACATTAGTCTTCAGTAGCTACCAGTCCAGTCCGAGGATGCGGAGCCTAAATCTTTCCAAGCGATAGCTCCATTTTTAGCGAATTGTGTAATGCTGGACTGCACTTTACCGCCTGTAAACAACTGCAATGTCCTCAGCCGACTTATGACCCCCTTTCAGTTAACCGTTCGAGGAAAACTTCTTGACATAGTCAGTGGACTCTCTGAGTTTCCATAATTTGTGTCTTATCGCTAAACTCCCTTCGTTTTATAATTCATTTACTTTTCTCTCTATCCATCTAGTACGTGATTAAGCTTTCAAGCCTTGGCACAAGTGCTTTGACAGTAAGGGCATGTTGTGAAAATAAGGGGGTGTTGTGACGGTACACCATACACTCGAATCCCAGTACGTTAACCAAACAGAAGCAAAGCTTTTCTGACAGGAAAAAGAGAAAGTATCCAGAGACCTGACTCCACCCAATCTTCCACCTCCCACCCTCAGTCACCTCCTCTGAAATGGTTTAGCACATAGAAATATGGTTAATCAGGGTCATGAAAATTAAACACACAAAGTATTTGTTGGCATTAAAACTAAAAATTTAAGACTAAATCTAAAGACCTATATATATTCTGTCTGGCCCTTCAATTCCTCGTCCTTGACATCTACCTCAGGGCATGGAAGACTGACTTATGTAAACTGTTCCTGTCATCTCTGCTTTCCACTGGCTTCTGCCTATGAAAGGCAAAGGCCGAGTATGTAGTCCTCTGGCTTTCTCTTTAGGGAGCCCCTTTACCTACGATTTCTGCTGTTGAGCCCCACTGTCCACCTAGCTATATCTCCAAGATCTGGAACAGAACTCACTCTGCTTCTAGATTTCTTGTGATTTTCCCACACCCTCACCGGACCTTTGTAAATAGCCCTTTGTTAAATGATAACCAAATTATCCCACCCTAATACAAGACCCTCCCTCCTCCTTTATTGGGTAGCAGAAACAATCACCTCAAATAGGAACATTTGAAAGTGGCTTCAGGAGCTCTGGAGACAGGCAAACCTGAGTATAGTATTGTGTGGTTCATTAGTTCATTTAATGAACCTATGGGTAACGCGGTTAAATAAGGATCAGGATAAACAAATAGGCCGAATAGATGTTTATTCAGGGAGAAATAACTTACAACCTAGACAGATGAACACCAGGAAATTCAACCCGATCCTCTCCTGTCCAAGTCAGGCCAGCAAGAGAGCTTTTCCTCGCTCTCCCTCCGACCTCCTTCCACAGGTCACTCCGCCCGTGGTTCCACCCCCCAATGGGTGTGGTCAGTGCCACAGAAGGACTATCCCACTACATATGGGTATGTTGTAGATATTTTGGAATATGTCTATTAACTGCACAGCCATTGTTACAAGAACAGGGTGGGCCATTGTCACCAAGAAAATTCTATAAGATATCATGTCCACCCACCTTCACCACAGCTGACCCTGCATGATAGATCAATAAGTAACTTTTCCCCCCAGAAGGTGTATTGCTATGTAGTAGACAAGACCTGGTAGGAATGGACAAAGAGCCTCAAGCTATGGAGCACCTAACTTCTGCCATATATTCACAGAAACAGAAGAAAGTTGGTGTGAAGAGGCAATTCGTTGAAGTCAGAGGGAAACGGAAATAAAAGACAATGTCTTTGGAGAAAGAGCCTAAGACAATGGCTTTGTGTCGGCCTTACACTTTTGCTTCTTTTCTGTGAAGTAGCTTTATACCCTTATAGTAAACTCCAGAAATATGACCATGCACCCATAACAAGTATTAGCAATATCCTGTGTGTCCTGAGCACCACACATTGCTCCTTTATACCTACTTGCAATAATGAGTTCATTTTGCTGTCAGATTTTTCTCATCCAAACCCTTCATCTTCCAAATATTGTTCTGATATATTTTGGTTATGTTTTGTTTGCTCCACAAGGGACAAACTTAACCATTACTCCAGTTCATGGCATGCACTGTTATTGATTTCTACAAGTTAAAACTCTCTTTCATCCATATCTTTTGTCTCTGCTCTTGTGTTTCCCCTTTCATGGTAGGTAATAATGTTCTACTGTGTATGTTTGCATTTAGTTGTTTTGTGGAATTTTTTTTCTCTCCTGTACTGGGGGGT